GAAGTGCGGGCTCTCTCGCCACATGTTGGCAAAGCCCTTCTTGCAAAGAGTGGACATGGAGGCACGGAGGACGGGGATGAGGGCTTACTTGAGCTGCTTCAAACGCATGGACTGTGTCTTCTTAACACCTGGCACGGGAAGCACAAGGCAACCAATGTTACCTCCGGCAGCTACAGTCAGATCGACTTCATTGCAGTGCGGGTCCAATGGGCTGACAGGGTGGCTAAGCAGAGCACAGCGCAACCAGAATGCCCAGCAGGAGCGTGGAAAACGAACCGACACTTTCCGGTGCGCGCCTCGGTCAAGCTGGTGGCGCCATGGCACCTCATCCGAAAAAACAGACAAACCACTGCGCAGATCAACAAAGTGGAGATGCAAAGCTCCATTGCTACACAAGATGCCAGAGCCCGAGAACTGCGCGAGAAAGTTGCCGACGACGTTAGCAGGCTCCCGCAGCAGGCAGGTCTAGGTGAACTCACCGTCTTAGTTGATGAGATCATGCGGAGACATGCCGCGGCAATCTATCCGACCAAACCTGTCTCGGATCAACGCCTCTGCCGGCATCCTGTGTTCAATCGCAGTGCCAAAGCTCTTTGGAAACTTTACAGGGAATACAGGGCAATCGGAAAATGCAACAGAAAGAATATCCTTAGTAAATGGCGCCTCTGGACCAGATTTCGCCAAGCTTCAAAACAGATGCGTGCTGATGCCAAAGTTGCCAAGAGGCAGCAGATCACTGACACAATGCTCGAATTAGAGCAAGCTGCTACTCGAGGTGATCAGGGCGGCATTTATGTTGCAGTTCGCAAACTTGCGCCCTGGAAGCCGGCAGCCAAGCCCAGTATTCGCGGTAAGTCAGGGGAGTTTCTCCCACCAGCACAGCAGCTTCGAGAGCTTTGCAGGCACGCCACGGCGAAGTTCTGCCAGGGCACAGACTATCAGCCAAAAGGCACGCTGCGAGAAGGTGTTCAGGTAACTGTCGAACAACTGCAAGAGGCTTTGCAGAGATTGCCGGTGCGCAAGGCAGCGCCACAGAATGCCGCTCCCTCTGCCCTCTGGAAAAACAGCGCTGCAGCGCTGTCACAACTTTTCTGGGGGCCACTCTCTGAGGCATGGGGACCTGGAGCCGAGGGCAGTGCACCTCCCATCTGGAAGGATGCACAAATGGTCTGGATGCCTAAGCCTCAAAAGGATAGCAGCATTCTTGCCAATCTGAGACCCATCGGTCTGGTACATCCCATGGGAAAGTCTGTTACTGTCGTTCTTCGGACCAGACTCGTGCCCACGCTCATGGAGGCTCTGGTCACCAGGCCACAGTTTGCCTACGCCAAAGGCCGGTCTACGCTCGATGCGCTGCTTAGAGCCCATGGGCACATTACCCAGACAAGGCAGGTTGTTGATGCTTGCAAGTCCTCGATATACGCCCGACACTCAGGTCAGGAACCGAACCCCTGCTTTGGAGGTCTCTGCTTTAGCCTCGACCTCAAAGGTGCTTTCGATGCAGTACCCAGGAGCAGCTTAGCGGAGAGTCTGTTTAGGCTCCAAGTTGATCCGGAGCTGGTGCATTTGATCATGCATATGCAGTACCAGGCCCAGTGCTGGAACAACGTCGGAGCCGACACCCGGCCCGTCACGCCGACACAGGGGATCAAGCAAGGATGCTGTGTAGCGCCTTATCTCTTTGTGGCATACACTATCATGGTGATGGATAAGCTAAGTGTCCAGATGACACCCGGGTGGCAGGAGGACAGTCTCACCTGGTATGCCGACGACGCGTTTGCAGCTTGGCTGGTTCAGGGGGTTGATGACTTGCGTCAGGCTCTAGGCGACATAAGCACAATCATCAGTGTCCTCCGAGACAACGGAATGGAAATTCAACCGGACAAGTGCGCGGTCCTTCTCAACTTGCATGGGAAGGAGAAATCCAAGATCCTCAAACATCATATCGTGCATCGACAAGAACAAGCACATCTTGTGATTAGCACCCTCGAGGAGGTGTACATCCCCATCAAGAAGCACCACGAGTACCTTGGCACGGTGCTGGCCTACCGCGACCCCCAAACGCTTACCCTGCAACACAGGCTGGGCAAGGCTAGAGGTCAGTACGCGCTACTGCGGAAAACGTTGCATGCACGCAGACTCATTTCGAGCAAGCACCGCTATCGAATCTGGAAAGCAGGAGTCCCAGCGAGTGCCTGTTATGGCCTTTTAGCCACGGGTGTCACGGTGACAGGTCGTGCTCAGCTCCTGGCCATGGCGGCAAGACAGTTACGTGCCTTGGCCGGTCGGCCGGCGCACCTAACACACGAAACCAACGAATCTATCAGGAGGAGGTTTGGATGTGTAGAACTGACTGAGGAACTCTACAAAAGCGCTGCCAGCAGACGCAAAGAACTGCTGGAACTTCGTCGGACCCAGCCTGAGAACATTGTGACAAGAGACATTGCCATTCAACAGCTTGAGCATGCGATGGCCACCTTCCAGACGATCGTACCGGTCGAAAGTCCTGCAAGGGGAGGCGCGGAGGGTATAGGGTTTCCCTGTCCAGTGTGTGGTGTTTACTTCGACAGTCGCACTAGCATGAAGAAGTATGTCGCGCTGAAGCACCCGGAGCACAAACAGAAGGAGATCCAGTTTGACCCCGCCGTTCATGCAATTGGGGGTCTCCCCCAATGTGCAGCATGTGGACACAAATTTCAGCACTGGCAGGCGCTCAGAAACCACATTACGAACGATAACTGCACCGCTCTTGGGGCTCAGGTCGAGGCACAGGTCGACATCACCAGTGCTGAGGTGACAGTTGCAGAGGCATCGGCAAGGGATCAGGCAAACAGTGCTACGGTCACTGCTTCGCCAACTCCGCCTCCCGCACCGCAGCAGGTCACCCCAGATGAAGCGGTGAGCCGGGTGCCACCGTACAGACAGCAGTTGGTGCATCAAATCATCCGTGATCAAGGCTGGGAAGCTTTAGTCACCAGTGCAGTGGCCCAGGAAATGCAGCAGCACTGCTGTTTGTGCGCTAGATGGATCGTTGATCCCACAGCTCTCAAAAGACACATCAAAATGGGACACAAAGAACTCTGGGCTCGGGTTGCTGCTCAACTAGACACCACTTGTGCAGTGTTTAAATCTCGGCTCACCCGCGACGGTTGTTGCCCTTTTTGCAATAGAACCTCCTACAATCGGCATTTTAAGCAGTGCTGTGTCATCTTCCAGTCAGCCCTCCTCGGCCTCCTGCTCAGCAAAGATGGCGGTCTCCAAGGAACAGATTCAGATGTTCGGGTACCTCATGCCGGGGCTGAGTGCCACGCACAAGAGGCCACCGGCCACGCCGCTGACGGGGGCACTCAAGGAAGAGGATCTGGAGGTGCAGGGGAAGCGAAAGAGAACACGTCGAGGAAGGGCAGGGAGCCGTCAATCGGCCCCTCAGCTGGAGCTAACCAAGGATGTGGAAAGGGCTCTGGCCTTGATCTCTCGCATCCTGATNNAGCATCAACGCGGCCAAGATGGATCGGGGGTTCACGGTTTTCATGGCCCAAACCGGACCAGCAGGACTGCTTACAAATCTGTTCCAGGCCAGTGTGGCGTGGAACAAAGTCCGAGAAACCGAGCCCAAGAAGATCACACAGCCCTTGCGGATCACGCTGCTTACCTTGATGATTGCGGAGCTGCTGGTCAGACTGCAGAAGATGGAGCAACACCCGGAGGCCAAGAAGCTGGCAGTCACGGAGGGCTGGATGGACGACAACGACAGGCTGCTGTATCAAAAGTGGGACGAGGAAAGCAAAAAGCTGCTCCCCCACCCCACGATGCCAGGCCTGCCAATCCAGGAGGTCCTGCAGACCCTCAAGGAGCTGGAGCCGCTCATCCTGGAGGATCTAGTTCTTCGTTTCCACGCGCCGCGAAAGCTGAAGCCAACGCCCGAGGCCGAAAACAAGGCGGTGTTCAAGCTCGAGATTTCTCTCAGACATCCCGAAGCAAACGCGATGTATCAGTGCATGGCCAAGTTGGAGAACAACGCAGTCTGGCAGCTTATTGGCTGCCAACTCCGCAAGGACGGAATGCGAAGAGCAAATCCGGTGCAGGAGCTGATGAA